CTCCGCGATGGAGCCCTCCCGCTCCCTCTGTCTCCTAGGCGGGGGGTGGCAGCGTGCATGAGGAGGAGGCGGCGGCGGGCGGCCTTGTTGTGTTTCTCCCGACATCGTTTCGCTGCGATGCTACCTCCGCACACCGGCTAAGCCTTGGCCTTTGGCTGAATTAGCGCCCACTCGTGTGCCGAGTGGAGTGAGAAAGCCCCCCGCTTTGGAAACTGGGGTGTAGTTTCCTCCCAGAGCACTTTTGCAGGCCCTTCTGTAAGAATGAGAGCCCAGGTGTTTTATTTCAGGTTGAGGTTTTCTTTAGGACGTGCAGAGCAGCTCAGTGAGGATCGGGGCCCTCAAGGATGAGGGTGCTTCATGGTGTGGCAGCCTGCACTTACAGACCTGGTGTTTTCAGGCCCACTTTTCTAATTCTGATCACCTCCGGGAGGTCTGGGCTCACCTAGCTTTGTCTCACTATTATGTAGGTACTTTCTGAATGTTTTACCTTGTAATCTATTTAGAGGCAACTATGTTCTCCCTCTTCTGTTTAAATTCCCCTTCTGCTTATGTTGGTGTAATGTATTGCAATGTCCCAGTTAAAGCTTACATGCAGTCTTCTAATAGCTCTCAGGTAACTAGAATTCTGGATAGAGAAGTTTCTCCTTGCCTTGAAAAAGCTGCCTTGGCTTGCTTTTCTTCTTCTGCAAGCAGAACAGGCAGTGGGCAGGAGAAGGTCAGGATTATAGCAGAGTGTAATAACCATTCACAATCTCTCCATTAACGATCTTTTCAGATGAAGTTGGGGCTCTTGTATTTGATATTGGCTCGTATACAGTGAGAGCAGGCTATGCGGGTGAAGACTGTCCAAAGGTGAGGATCTCTGTGACTTAATGGAATTGCAACATGAATTCATTCCTTAAGTCTTGTTGTTTAGTTATGAGTTCTCAGAATATGCTGGGTTTTGTTCTCACTCTGTTGTATATGGAAAGCTCTGAAATGATGAGCAAAAAACCCTCCCCAAACATGAACTTAATTCTTATATACTGCTTACCTTTTGCCTTACAGGTTGATTTTCCAACAGCTATTGGTGTGGTGCTAGAAAGGGACAATGGCAGCACTCTGATGGAGATAGATGGTGACAAAGGCAAACAAGGGGGCCCGACTTACTACATAGATACCAATGCCCTGAGAGTTCCAAGGGAAAATATGGAGGCAATTTCACCTTTAAAAAACGGAATGAGTATGGTGCTTTGTCTTTTTCTATCCGTTTGTAAGACAGCATTGCTAGGCAGCAAAAAGTCATAGCTTTCATGTAAACAGGCTATGTATGGCAGCAGAAGCCATAAGAACAGATACCTGACTTAAAAATTGCATGAAGTATGGTTGGTTTACAACTTTCAACATGATTCTTGAAATATTATGCTGATGGTGATTACAGAATAAGAGAATTCTGCAAAGCTATTTGTCCTGGGTTCAGCTACAGCAGTCATTTTTTCTCCTTCTTAGTAGCTGGTGCAGTGCTGTGTTTTTGACTTTCAGTCTGGGAACAATGATGATAACACCGATGTTTTTAGTTGTTGCTAAGTAATGTTTACTCTGACCAAGGACTTTCTCAGTCTCATGCTTTGCCAGAGAGGAGGGGAAGCCAGGAGGAAGCAGAGACAGGACACCTGACTCAAACTGGCCAAAGGGCTATTCCATACCACAGCACGTCATGCCCAGTATAGAAACTGGGGGGAGTTACCTGGAAGGCCCAGATCGCTGCTTGGGTCGGGCTGGGTATCGGTCGGCGGGTGGTGAGCGGTTGTGTCCTTTCCCCTTGTTATTCCTCTTATCATTATTACTGGTAGCAGTAGTGGTTTGTATTATACCTTAGTTACTGGAGAGCTGTTATCTCGACTCGCGGGAGTTACATTCCTTCGATTCTCCTCCCCATCCCTCCGGGAGCGGGTGGAGGAAGTAAAAGTGGGGGGAGTGAGCGAGCGGCTGCGTGGTTCCAAGTTGCCGGCTGGGCTTAAACCACGACACTATTAAAGGAGATCTCTGTCTGCCGAGGGTAGCTTTTGGCTAAAGAGCTCTATTCAATAATAGCTTTGGCAAACTTTTATGTATTTGTGAAATGGAACAAAACTCAGAAGCAACTAATCTGCTCACTTCAATGTTGTTACAGTTGAAGACTGGGATAGTTTCCAGGCAATTTTGGATCACACTTACAAGATGCATATTAAATCTGAAGCAAGTCTGCATCCTGTCCTTATGTCTGAAGCACCAGTGAGTAAAAGCAGCTTTGCATTTTGATAAGTCTTAACTGTATCTTCTTGCCGACTCTATAAACATTAGTCTGGGACAAGTCTGGCACTGGCTTGTAGGTTACAAGTGCTAAAACTTACCTACAGAAATAACAATTTTAAAATACTTTGCCAGCCTTTGGGAAGTAATCTGTTTAAGAAAATGTCCAAAAAAAAACCAAAAAAACAACCCAACCCCCAAACCAGTTTGAAATAGTTTGCATGAGTTGTATTAGAAAGGGTTTGCAATGTGCTGCCATTTTTCACTTATCGAAAAGAAGTAAAAATTAAAAATAATCTTACTTTACTGCCTAGAATAAAAGCAAAAAGATGTTTGGATGTCTAAGTATGTATTAAGTTAACTTAATAAAATGCCATTGAAAATCTGTCAGTTTATTCAGCCTTATGACAAATACTACGTGCCAGAGAATAATGGAGTTAATTTTTCTGTCTTCATTTCTGTAAATGGCCCTTTGAGTAAGTGAGGTATACAGATGTCTGGGAAAATATATGGATGAGGTTTCTCTTGCTTAATACTGTGCAGCTTTTGAATGACAGATCTTAACGTCAGAATACAGTAGATAGACTTACAAAATTTATGTATTTAATTAAATCTTACAAAAAGACTTTCTTGTTCATTATTCCCTTGCATTGAATTGTAGCGTGTGAGGTATGGATAAATTTGCAGTGGTTATTTCATGTTGGATGCCTCAGCTGGTGTCTGAATAGAGGATCCCAGTAACATTCTCCTTTGAGAACTAACCTTTACTTTAACGTATTGGCTTGGAAAAAGCTTCAGGCTTTCAGTAATGGGTAGAATATTTGACATATATATATATATATATCTCCTGGCTCAATCTGTAGTACTCTAGACTTGTATGAAAATACTTTGGAAAAAGGAAAATCTGGATTTATTCTTTCAACTCCGCAAGTTACTTCATTTATCTTTCCCCTTGTAAAATAGGCATGTTACTTGTTTTATAGAATTCTCCGAGAGACTGAGACTTTGAAAGCTGTAGGAGTATAAATAAATCTCTATTGTAACAATGAAAGTGAATATCACTTCTGTGTGATAGATAAGTAGTAATGTAGTAGAATTGGAATAAAAAAGGTTCTGAAGAAGTAAATCGCTAGAAATCTGTCTCTGAATTTTGGTATGATTTGAAAATGTGACTACAATAATTCTAACTACTACTGAAATATGTTGGCATTCTTTTAGTGTGCTCTAATTGTCCTCAAGATAAACATATCTTCCCTTGGGTTGCTTATTTGTGGTTCGGTATGTTTTTTTTCTTCTAGTGGAATACTAGAGCAAAGCGTGAAAAGCTGACTGAATTGATGTTTGAACACTACAACATCCCTGCTTTTTTCTTGTGTAAAACCGCTGTTCTAACAGCGTATCCTTTGGAATGTTTCACTGCTTCTTCCTTCCCTCCACCCCCAGGAAATTACAGTAAACTTATTCTAGGCAATTGCTAGTGTGACAGCATGTCTAACTTTTCTTCTTTCAAATTAATTTTTCCATAAACATCTAAGGAGGAAATAAATAAATTCCATTTCTGAACTTTAAAGCTGTAGAGTTCAGTTCTGAAGTTCTCCCAATCTGACTGTTTTCCTTGGAGGCAATGTCTTTTTTATTTGTATTAGTTCTCTTAGTTTTTTCCCATTGTATACCATGGGTAAGAATATTACAGACCTAAAATGGTGTTGTCCAGAATACTAAATACAGTAATTAGAGCTTGAAGTTCCCATAGCCTTAAGATTAATATTTGTAATTTTTTTAAGCTAATAACATGTTTTTAGTTTCAGAGTCTAAATTAGTTGGGTGTGCTTAGAGCTTGTTGCATAGTATTGATGTGAAGTCTCACCTTTGTACATCCAGAGCTCAAGTCAGTTCACAGCTGGAAGTTAAGTGCCATTTGCTCAATGAGGTTGTGCACTTCACAGACAAACGATGCACACTAGAAAAGCATATCCTGTTGTAGAGCCAAGGAATAACACCTCAGGGTCCTGGTTCTGCTGTAATTGTATGGCAGCATTTTTTCCTAAAGTGAAAATGACAATATTTTCCTTAATCATTTTGGCTAGTTTTGCTAATGGGAGATCTACAGGTCTCATTTTGGATAGTGGAGCAACACACACCACTGCTATTCCAGTACATGATGGATATGTACTTCAGCAAGGTAAAAAAAATTTCATGGCTAACAGCATTGTACTGCCAAAGTTGAATTAGGTTTCTTTCTGCTTTTACATTTTTGTTATTGTTTTTAAATCTGTGTATCTATTGCGTTAAATATGTGAAAGAAAAACCAAAACAAAACAACCTAATGGTGTTCACTGACAAATAGTTTGTTAGGAGAGTTTATTCATGATTTCAGTGCTTTCAAGGGTGGTTGGTTTTTTGGTTCTCTTTGTCTTCTAGGTATTGTAAAGTCACCACTTGCAGGAGACTTTATAACTATGCAGTGCCGAGAATTGTTTCAGGAGATGAACATAGAGATAATTCCTCCATATATGATTGCTTCAAAGGTGGGAAAGTAAATTATTAATAAGCATTTGCTTGAGGAGAGGTTTAAATGGTTAACGGATGATCATGTTTCTTATGATCTCAGGAGGCAGTTCGTGAGGGGTCGCCAGCAAATTGGAAGAGAAAAGAGAAGTTACCCCAGGTCACTAGGTCTTGGCACAACTACATGTGTAATGTAAGTAGGCCATTTCTCCCGCTCTCTAACTCCCCAGGCTGTCCCATAAAGAAGTTTTGTTTGCAAGTATATCGGGTTTTCCTCTTGACAAACTAAATTCTTTAAAAAAAGTCAGTGCTTATATAAAATTGAAGCCTGAAATTCTTATAACCATATTATTTTTAACTCCACAGTGTGTCATTCAGGACTTCCAGGCTTCCGTCCTCCAAGTGTCAGATTCAACCTATGATGAACAGTATGTCACTGTTTTCCTTCTTGTAAAATGAATTATCAGTTGTGCATGGGGTGCTCAGCATGTTCATTGCTGTTGGCTGGTTTTGCCACAGAAGTATTTTTAGATACAGGATGTTTGTTTCTGGAAGTAGAAATACAGTGTATATCCAGGTGATAGTTTTTTATTTAATATTCCAAGATGCATGACATCAATAAATAAGTTCAATAAATATTATTGAAAGTGTAAGTCATAAAAATTACAATATTCCCATTGAAACCTTAGTTTATAATGGTAATTAGATAACATCCTGTTTACATAGCATTTGAATGTATTACTTTCTGGCCAATGCTCCAGGGTAGCAGCGCAGATGCCAACAGTTCATTATGAGTTCCCCAACGGCTATAACTGTGACTTTGGTGCTGAGCGTCTAAAAATCCCCGAGGGATTGTTTGACCCTTCTAATGTAAAGGTAAAACAACTATGATATGTAGTGATTGGAAGGCTTTAAATTACTAGATTATCACATGGCTTCCTTTTGTATGATGCTGTTAATTTCATGATTTGTATGTGCGTATTTACAGTGCAGTTCTGCAGGCAGAATTTGCCTGTGTTGTATTAAGGTTGGGCAAGCAAAGGATAAAATGTAGTTCAAACTGGGTGATGAAGACCCGAATGGGAAAATAGGGTTGTTTAGGGTTTTGTTTTTTTTTTTTTTTCTTTTTTTCCCCTTCCCTAAAAATGTCTAGTTCTCTCTTTAATAATACTTGTAAATTTAATTCATTTGGGGCTCTTATATGTCTTGCTCTTTTGAAGCAATGATGTGTAGATTACTGATTTTAATTCTAGGGTTTATCTGGTAACACGATGTTGGGCGTGAGCCACGTTGTCACAACAAGCGTTGGAATGTGTGATATAGACATCAGGCCGGTAAGTGTTAGTCAGACATGTACTGTTATAAGGCATAGATATTTTTGTGCTGATAGGATTTTTTGGGACTAGAACACTGTTGATGAAGAAATGTGGATTTCCTAGGATAGTGATAAACATTAGAATAATTCTTCAAGTATTACTTAGGCATTTGTATATAGGAATATGTACAATTACTGTTTTGTCTTACAGAATGCTAAATCACAATTTTTTTACCTAGGGTTTCTACCAGTATTTAAGTAGCTACTATCCAGATATTGTGGCTGTCACTGCATGGTGTGCATGAGATTTGCTTTAGATGAGCATTTGATGCTCATAACTTTGAGTGCCATCCTCAGACTCTTGGGCATGGCAATTACACTTTCTAAATGTAACCAATCTTATGGAACTTTTTGTAGAGAGTAGAAGGAAGAAAAGAGGTTTTAAAGGAAAACTTTCTTTTTAAAACTATGTTCTAACTTTCTCAATTTGAAAATAATCAAGTTTGATACAGACTGCATGGGGGTGGTTGTAAAACTTTACCTCTTAACGAATGTGGCAGGCAGGCTTAGCAGGCCAGAACATGGTTTGTGCTTGCCAGCTGCAGCATTAGTGAGACTTAAAAACTGTTGTAGTGCTCTGGGGCTTTCCTTTGTGGTTGGAACATCAAGCTGTAAGAAAACAACAATTTGGATAGAGGAGGTATCTGCAGGTGTAAGGTTTTCTATAGTAGAAAATATTCTGTGAAATCATTTAGAATTACTAATCACGTGGCTTCTGTCTTCCTTGTGTAGTTCAATATTAAGCTGTCTTGATATATTTTGAAGTAATTAAAAAGTAATTGGATTGGGAGAGGTAGTATTGTTGACAAGTATGTCACACAACTGATGTATGATTGCTGTTGATTAGATGTACTTATGTGCCATTCCTCTATTCTGTGAAACAGTTTTTTCAGCATGATTTCAGATTTAACATTGTAGGTTGATTATTCTCTTTTTAGGGCCTCTATGGCAGCGTGATTGTAGCGGGAGGAAACACTCTAATACAGAGTTTCACAGACAGATTGAACAGAGAGCTGTCCCAGAAAACTCCACCGGTAAAACAACTCTGTAATTTACTGCATTGAGTTACTTATTAGTTGGGTTTTTTCACCACATAAGTACACAACCATGTCTCATAACTGACTTTGTTAAGATCCCAACAGCTGGAGAAGTTTCTTTGGGGTAAGAAATCTCCCCCTTCTCTAAAGAAAAGAAGTCTTGAAAAAGTCTTGTATGACTTGAATTACAGCAGATAATATAACAGCTTTCTGAATATTTTACTTCTCCATTCTTTTTTGAAGTGTTGCTGACTAACTTGAGGCGCATTCAATCATTCTGCCTGAGGTCTTGTCACTGTCATGGGAATTGTTCTTTCTGGGTTCTACAGAGAATTCAACCTACTTGTAGATAAAACCTTGTGATTTAACATACTTGGGTTTGGTTTTGTGTTTATTGTTTTTTTTTTTAAATCACTTGATGTCAAATTATTAATACCTTACAGCAGTGTTCTTGAGAGCACATACAGCTTATTAAATTTCTTGAGTAGTCAGAAAAATATTCTACTCATAGCAACTCTTAATTCATAAATGTTATGAGAAACAGGAAGGTAAGTACCTGCTGCTGCTTATAATAGCAGAGGAGGAACCCACTGGAATTTGAAGATTCTATTACTACAAGGCATTTTGAAAGCAAAAGGAATGAATGGGTCCAAAAAGGAGTAGCTGAGCTAAGTTTAGCAATGTTAGACATTTTATCTCCAGTGCACATTTTAATTAGTCCAGTGTTACAGATAACAGTATATGCTGTGAGTATTACTGCTCTCTGCCTGGTCTGTTTCTAGCCTTAAGTATTTGTTGCTGCTTCCTGTTGGGAGGCAAGATAAAAGCTACACACGTTCTGTTCCACTGTGGCTATTCTTGAATTCTAAGTACAGGACAGATGAACATTATTGCAAGTTTAACAAAAATGACGTTTTCACTTGCATGTTGGTATATACACCAAGGACTTTGTGCTTTCCTTCTTTTGTTCCTAAAGGTCATTAGCTTACTCTTTGTCCGATTTGTTCTTTCATTTACCTCCTCTATTCAGAGCATGCGTCTGAAGTTGATAGCAAACAACACAACAGTGGAACGAAGGTTCAGCTCATGGATTGGTGGTTCGATTTTAGCTTCTTTGGTTAGTAAACCTGTGTTACTGTGTTGCTCATCCAAAAACCTAATCCTACATTAAGCGTACATTGCAGTTTGCGCTACCATAGCGATCGTAATCTTGTCTGTCCTTGCAGTAAGGTGGAGAGAATCAATTTAAAGAACAAGACAACATGAGCATTTCCAATCAGAAAATAACTTGCTGCGTTCTGCTGTTTTTAATGGCAAGGTGCAGGCTTGAAATACGATATGTAAAAATACCATGTATATAATACACCTTGAAAGTAGCAAACTTGTTTCTGCATCATATTCCTGAGCTTAATCAAGTTAGAGTACTGAAATGGTTTGCGGGGATTAACATAGCAGTATGGGAGAGGGAGACTGAAACTGGCTTTTGGTACTGCAACTTCCTGCCTTAGTTTAATCGCTAGCAATATAAAATTCCAAGGAAGAGATAAACAGGTCAAGTCCTCTTACCTTGTTTAATGTTAAGACTTGCTTGGTTTTCCTCCTAGCAAAAGCTAATCATGTTTCACTTAACCTTCATTTGTTTTTTATTTATTGCATATTGAATTGTTTTGTTTTTCTTGTAGGGTACTTTTCAACAAATGTGGATTTCTAAACAAGAATATGAAGAAGGAGGGAAACAGTGTGTAGAAAGAAAATGTCCTTAAACTTCTTACTGTGAAAACTGCTGCCTGCTCAGTGCTCCTTCTGTTTTATAGCTTTAGCATACTCAGGAATGGGATGGACTCTTTTTTTGTAGAAAGTTTATATTGGATTTTTTGCATAATTCAAGTTCCGTTTTAACAAACCTTAGAAATTTTGAGACCTAATTGGTATTATCATAGAAAAAGGATGTTTACATCCCTTGTAAAGCAATAATTTACATAACAAGCATTTTATAATTTTGTATAAATGTCTATTTTCTCTAGTATCTTTTCCTGGGAACAGCTTTACAGATTAGCTGATAGAGGCATAACCTTGCAAATGCCTGTGCAAATCTATTAAAAATCTCTTGTCTACTTTCACATAGTGGTCTTCCTTGCTGGTACTTTGGCCTTAAATTGCTCTTATTTCTCTCTTCAAAAATAAAATTTGTTTTTTCATATTTGAGCAACTTTGTGAGTACTTGAAGAGAAAGTTACTCTTCTGCTTTTAAAAAGGGAGTTTGTGTTTAGTACTAAAGTAGTATAGGTGACTTAGTTCAGTGTGAGCTTTTACTGTCTCCTGAAAGCATTACATTCCATGTAGTGAATGTTATATGAAGCACTGGTTTACTAATTTTCTATTATGGAGCATTTTCATTTCAGTAAACGGTGCTCTCCACCTGATTCCTAAGAATGTATATAATGTGTTTGTGATGTAGGTGAGAAGCAAAACTTGTTTGAGCCAGGGAAGTTAAGGTCAAGAATTATCTCTGCAAGACTAGGAGAATAGTCATAGAAGACCTCAGGATGTGGCTTGAAATTTTTACAGGAAACTGTAACTCAAAGGGGCTGTTGCTACTTGTCTATTGTTTGTGTAGCTCCCACAGCTGATTCACACCAGGGTCAGTAAGTGCCTGTTTTGGAGGGAGAGCTTGCACTCAGGGTCAGCAAGTAGGATGACTTTTCTTTTTTTTTTTTTTTTTTTTGGGGGGGGGGCAGGAACTCTGACTGTCAAGATGCAGCTCTATGTTGCTGTTAAGCTTGCTTTAATTTACAGTGGTGTGATGTTCTGTACTGGGACATGATTACGTTTTGCTCCTTATCTTAAAAGTTGTGGAAAACCAAATACCATTTAACTGACTTAAAAAAATAATAATGTGAACAGTACTGTTAAATTTTTCTATCCTAAAATACCTTGTGGATAAATAATGATGAGGCCTCTAGTTGAGAAGTTTCACATTACCTTCAGACAATAAAGTAATTTATCAAAACAACCTGTTTTTGTCTTATCCTGATAACCATTAGTTACTTGAGGCAAAGTTGCTTGCTCCAGGTTTTCAGTATTTCTCTCACAAAAGGAGGCAAACTTAAGTCAGCTACAGTAGGTAATATGTTGCCAGATACTGTTGTCATACTGGAAGACAAAGACTTACTCTGGTTTGCATTGAAGTAGAATGTGGAATGTCAGTCGAACTTGTATCTTGACACAGTGCAAGGAGTAGTCCTTTGTGAAGTTACTGTGGCGTGGGTGAAGTATTAAGATTGACTGGACAGCTGCTAGCTAGAGGTGAAGATACAAAGTAGGTTTTTTTTTGGTTTCTCTTCAGGAATTGACGATGCATGTGAAGCTTTCCTTCTGTGGAATGTGCTTACTCATGTTGATTATATTCTCAAAAAGAATTGCAGTACAACAGTAGTATCTCTGAATGTCCTATCACTATATGGAGAGCAAAGCACTTTCTGTTTTTTTCACCACCATAGAGAGCTGCTGTTTAAATGGATATTTCTTGTGTGCAGAGGAGTAACTGATGATGATGGAGACAGACTTGTCTATCCTACAGTTTTGGCTCCCTTAGAGTTCACAGTGTTTCATCAGGTTGTGTTGTATTGCATATTTGTTTCCTAAAAGACTAGTAATTTATGACTTTATTCTAAAATTCTATACCACCTCAGCAGAAGGTTAAAAGCTTTCATGAGCAGGTGTTCACCATCAACTGAGAGCAGCACCAGTACCTTTCTACTTCGGTTTTACTAGTACTACTAGTCTTCCTTCAACTATTCTGCACACTGGGGGGGGGGGGAGGGGCAACCCAAACCAAAACATTGCACAAATGTTGAGTTTGTCATAGCTATCTAGAAATCTAGGTATGAAGACTGCCTGGTTAAAAGTTCACACGCTAAATACTTCATACTTTCTAACAAGCCAAGACTTAAAGCAGGGAAAAAGTTCCTCTAGCAGACCAGTAACTTAAATGATGTACCTGTGACTCAGCTGGTCAGGGAATAAAGGTTTGTATGTGAGTTTCAGAAGCTCTCATGTCTCTGCTTTTAAAGTGTGCTTGTTAAACTAAACCAGGTAAATATCCCTACACTTCATACTTCCATCTGGCAGTCACTTGCTGCTCTTCACTCTTAACGATGCCTGCGTCACTTCTATAATAGCAACTTAAGTAATTTTTCAAATGTTTCTGGAAACAACTGTTAAGATTAGAGACATGCGTTGAAGCTGCTTTTAATTCCAGATCACACATTTAATTTAGGTTGTGGGATTAAAAAAAGATTGGAGACTTGAGAACGCTCAAGTTGTTTGCTGGCTTCAGAACTGTTTCATGTTCCAGTCACAAAGACACTGGACCAATCACTTGCCACACTTCCTGTGTGCTACTGGCTCTGCGATTTTACAGCAAGGTGAGGGAACTTCCTTTCTAGGACCTTCCGCTTTGTCTTCTCTAGGCTTCGCATTCTTGCCCTTGTGCATAACGATTTTTCAAGTCTGAGCCTGAAATAAAGAAGTCGGTGTGGTTAATTTCTAGATGGCTTGTAACAACCTTAATGAGCTCAGTATTAATTTGCTTTCATTAAGCTAAAATGCCTGCAATGCAAATTATTTATTTTCTTCTGCTTTTGAATTCAACAGAAATTCAACCTTAGGTAGCCTGCATGTAGAGTTACTTTTACACTGCAACTTCACAGATAACCAAACCTCTTAATGACTAATAACTGCAAGAAGAAAACAGAGCAAGCTGTGATTTTTAAAAAGCTTTATTTTCCATCTACCAACTGTAAAACAGGAAAAGTACTATTTTTTCCTTGCAAAATGGAATAAAGAGGAACTTGGGAACTGATCAGAAAGTTATTTTAAATGTCAAAAATTTTTTTTTACCTGATGAAGCGTTCCACATGAGGTAAGTAATAGAATTTCCTCTTTTTGTATTTTTTGTTCAAGTACCAAGGTATCGGCCATTCCTTGTAAGAGTACCTGTTAAAGACAGATTAAAGTGGTTATAGAACGTATACTTACTGTCTTCGTTCTTGGATTCTACCAGGTACACCTGGTCACAGCACAGTGACAAAGGATTAGATCACAGAATTTGCCTGTAGGTGTTTACTTTCAGCACTACTGCTGGCTTGGTTTGTAACTACAGGTTGTATGTATCTCGGTGTGTCTGTGTAAAAAGCAGCGCTGCCTTAAAAATGAAGTTTGAAGGGAGGGCCCAGTATAGATACTGATTCTTTATAAAGTTACTCCTTCATAAGAAAACTTTCAAAAGCTGATGTGAACAAACTCTGTGTGAAGAATTTTGTTTCTGCTATAATTTTCTTTTAAAATACCAGTGTTGTAGTGTCATGTCAAGTGCAAATCTGCCTGAATGTCCTTCCCTCTAAATACAGGCTCTATTATGTCTGTTTGGGGTTTCTTCTGAGTATGGGCTGCACAGATGGCTTGTGCAGACTTACCTACATACTCTGCTGCATCCAGATTGTCAGACCTGCCGCTGTCTGTATTGCAGAGTTTCTGCATGTGCTTAGAAAACATTTCATGTTGTCTAACACTTCCCCCTGCTTTAACTGGGGACTGAACTTTCAAATAAATGGGTAAATCCTTCTTTGTGGACAATTTTTCCAAGCAGACAGATACCACAGAATGGTTAGGGTTGGAAGGAACCTTAAAGACCATCCAGTTCGACCCCCCTGCCATGGGCAAGGATACCTTTCACTCAGCCAGATTGCTCAAATCCCTGTCCAGCCTGGCCTTGAACACTGCCAGGGATGGGGCAGCCACAGCTTCTGTGGGCAACCTGTTCCAGTATCTCACCACTCTCCCAGTGAAGAATTTCTTTCTAATACCTAATCTAAATCTACCTTCTTTCAGTTTAAAGTCATTCCCCTTTGTCCTATCCACAGCACCAGAGTAGAGTCAAGTTCAACAGGGTCTTTCCCCACTGAGTCCACCAAGCCCCTTCTCGTGGCTCTGATTTCAATGGCTAGTAGGTAGGGACATTAAGAATCTTGTTTATCCATTCATGCATGTCACTAATTGAATGATGAGGTACTCGGCTAACTTAAGAGAGTCACATACAGATAGAAGTCTCATCCCTAGAGATGTAAATCTAGTCATTGGTGCATTTAGTACTATGCTGATATGTATTTTATGGGTAAACAAATGGGTAGCAACTGAAAAGTCACCATTACTATAATGTGCAACCTTCTGTCACCTGCACTGTTACTGCCAAGCTGAATACTGTAATTAGTGCATCAAATGTCAACGAGGGTAAAATACTAGTTAATGAAATAGGAGGTCCTGCCAGAGCCTTCAGTGTCATCACCTGAAGTTACAGATTACTGAAAGCATCTGGACAGTAAATAATTCTAAAAGTAGATGCTTCTAAGTTAAGCATCTGCCAAGATTAGCAAGGAATTCCAAGGAATGTTTAGGTGGTCTCATGCAACACTTCGGGTGGTTGTCTCCCAGTATGTGGATTTTGCATTAGAACTAGGGCAGTCCAAATGGTTCAACTTGAATAGTACTCTGTAGTTCATCTGTGTGTTGCAGAATAGCTATAATGCAGAAATCATATTAGTTACATGTTACAATTAATGGTAAAGTTTGCTACTGAATTATTTAGCAACAATTATAACCACATGAAAAACCCCAAACAAAGATCAATCACTAATCAGAAAACATTTTTCTATATAGTATGTGCATCCTTTCCCGATTAGATAAGTATTTCATGTAAAGAGACTTTCCACAAGAAATACATATGAATAAAAAAACATTCTCTTTCTCATACCAGTAGGTGCGTCCTAAGAAGTCGTGTCTCCACTCGCCAGGTACTGGCTTTTCATGGCCAGTTTGTAGAAGCCTCAAAGCAATCTCTCTTTCTCTGACAACCAAATCTATATTTTTCATAGACTCTTCTACCTGAAAATAGAAAACAGTTTCAAGATGGGCCAACAAAACACAATACTGACAATGTGAAAGATCTCAAATGAAGATAAAGACAAAATTTAAAGGAAAAGCAAAGGTTGAACACACTGGGAGTTCCATTATCAGTAATCTCACAGTTGTGGACTGAGTGAAGCAGCTGAATTGGTCCTGTGTTTTAGAACACTAATAAATCAGTGCTTTAAAAACTTAACTTACAAACAGAAGAGATATGAAACAACTGATGGTCTATTTCATTAAAGACTAAATGGATAATACACAAAGCCAGATCTAATGCTGATGCCAGAAGCACAGAAAGCTCTGAGGCAGTGGTGGGAAGGAAGTAGGAGAAGCATCAGAAGATATTTTATGTATTTGTCAGATGGTTTGTACTGGCTGTTTGTTATTCTAGTTTTAACTTTGGAGTCTGGTCACAGCCTCAGTAACGCCTGCTGGCTGATTAGAAAGCTGCCTTGACCAAACCATGCCGCTTACATTGAAAGGGTTTAGTCAGATCTATCCCACAATATTACTGTAACACACACTACATATAGCAACGTGTTAAATGCATGGGAAGCTGCTAGAGCTAATTCTAATAAGCAGATTGCTGTATTTTGTCTCAGTGCAATCACAGTATTTAACTAGTGCTTGATTTCTAGTTTTCTTGGGCTACAGGCATTAGTAAGATTTGACTTCTAAAGCATTAGGGCCACGTAGCTAAGTTTCCTCCCAAAACAAGTTCTGTTGCGATTCGTAATTGCTGAATAGGGATGTGTAGGTGGGAGTAAGCAGAAAGTGCTGTTCAGAATGGGTATCACAAAATACAGTTGAAAAACTGTATTACAGTGCATTAGAATGAGATACACTGAGATCCAGAGGAAGTTTTATATTGGGTCTTCCCTAATTTATAAGTACAGTGATTAAACGACAAACAGGAGGAGATCAAACAAATCCATGTCTGAAATAAAACAGAGAAATCAATGCAGTTGCAAGTGCGTGTAATGGTGAATAATAGTTGAATTATTAAATGTACAAATAAATTCAAATTAACAATGTAAAGGTCAGACTTCTCCCAAATTAATTTGGATGAATAGGGGGGTATCTGAGAGTATCTCTCATGTCTAACAGTTGGATTACTTAACTGGCCAGTGAAGGTGTAGGTTACCATCTGTGAGACATAAGCATAAAGATGGCAGTAAGTAAATGATGTTTTCAATGGTAAAGATACTGAGGAAACAATTTAGTAAAGTTGTGGCAGAACTGCAATAATGCAAAAGAAAGAATGTGAGGACAGCAAAGAACAAAGCACAAGTTTGGAGAACACAATGTCAGAGGCAAGAAGTTGGCAACAGTTAAGTTGTTAAAAAAAATTTGTAGAGGGGAAGGATAGAGAGTATATTGAAGTTTTACCAGGATGTTTCTAGAAATCCTCTATTGCAGTTTCAGGGCACGAAGGCGGCAAAATATTCCTTTATGTTATGTAAAAGGTGGAGAGACCTTTCCCACCATGTCGACTGAGCACAGTGTTCATGCACATACTAAAAATCAGGGAAATAATTAAAAACAAACAAACACACACTTCAGCTGTTTTAGAGTTATAGTTTTAGCTAGTATGAAAAAGTTACCTTTTCTAATCGTTCTGGACTTGGCATAGGCTTGAGTTGTCGTTTTGATTCTTGCTCTAAAGTTAAAAGCATGTTTTTTTCCTTCAGTAGGACATACCTAGATCAGAAAGCATAGTACTTCAGAAATAGTTTCTGGATCTATTAGCAATTATTCATTCGCTAACCCGCTGGACAGAGCAGAGTTGTTCAACCTCTGATCTCATATCCCATGCCTTCTAGCTCCATATAAAGAAGCAAAAGATACCAACTGCAGAAAGCCCAGCAGAGGTAGGGAAGGCTGATATACAGGACACAGAATCACAGAACAGTTTGGGTAGGAAGGGACCTTAAAGATCACCTAGTTCCAACTCCCTTCCACTAGACAAGGTGGCTCACAGCCCTGTTCAACCTTGCCTTGAATGCCAGGGATGGAGCAGCCACAACTCATCTGGGCAACCTGTGCCAGTGCCTCACGACCTTCACTGTAAAGAGCTTATTCCTATTATCTAATCTAAATCTTCCCTCTTTCAGTTCAAACCCATTCCCCTTGTCTTATCCCTACATGCCCTTGTAAAAAGCCCCTCTTCCAGCTTTCTTGTTTGCCCCTTTAGGTACTAGAAGGCTGCTCTACAGTCTCCCCAGAGCCTTCTCTTCTCCAGGCTGAACAAGAACATACAAGGAGAGGCTGAGGAATACAGGTTTACTTAACCTGCAATAAAGAAGGCTAAGAAGGGACGAGGTTAATGTTAAGTAGTCTTCCACTGCCTGGACAGAGCCAGGGTCTTCTTACAGGTGCACAAGAAGAAGACAATATATGGCAAGAAAAAAAAACCCCACATTCACAGTAATAATTAAGTACTAACTAGCTCAGCCCTGGCACAGGTTGCCTAGAGTGGTGATGCAATCTCTGTCCTCAAAGACTTTAATATCAGAATGTATTCAGAGCTGAGGAATCTAATCTAATGCAGCAGTCAGACCCCCCAGATGTCACTTGCACCCGAGTCTCCTGCAATCCGAACAACGTCCAAAGGGTCCAGACACAGCCTCTTTGTACCAAACCTGGTCCCTTTGTATGGGGCACAGCTATTACACAGCCACCTGCTGTACAGCTTTTGCATGCTGAGCGGTACCAGAACTTGGGCTGTTCCAAGCATGCAGAGCTGTATGGCAGGCTGCTATATTAGCTAAATTTACTGACTAGTAAGTTCACTAGCCACATTTTAATAAAACATCCAGAGCTGCTCCGAAACAAGAGCAGCTACTTCACTAAAACATACTTACCAAAGCTTGTGTAAGTCCTCACTACTTTTAGCCCTCAGCTGCTTTATATTCCATGCATCCCCTGTAAAAAGAGAAACAAAAAGAATCATCAGTTTAGTAGAACAAAGTTCTCTTATTCCGAGAGAAAAAATGAAAAGTGCAGGCTCAGCTGGTGCTACAGAATTAGGGTCACTTTTTTAAAAAAGAGCTACCATTTGTAAGCTATCCTTGTGGATACTCAGCTTTGCTTTGAACATACAAATACATTAAAAACGCAATTACACATACTTTTAAATATGTTTCTTCCATAGTACTATATATTTTAACCAAAGAACATTTCTTCTGTGATACACTTTCACTTAAGAGCAAGACCAAGGACTTACAGCAAAATACTTTGCTGCATAACAGCTATTTGCTTTCATAAACACAGAATACACACAGAAATATAACAGGTATAAAGATACACAAGTACTGTGTACATACACACATTGAAAACGTTTTGTGTACCTATGAGTGCTTCCTATAATGCAAAGGATGTCAGATTTCAGCTGAGCACAAGTGGCTCAAACATCTCTATTAGAAACGATAAATATAAAACTTACCAGACTTTATGCTTTTTTCTCCCCAGTTTACTGGATCATCAAAAAACTCCTCCAGACCTTTCCGAGACAAAGTAGTGTGCAAAAACTTCAACTGATGGAGGGGCTCAGTTTTCGCTTGGCTCTTGTTGAAAAGATTTGGTGTGAACCTGCATAAAAATTACCAGAAAACACATACAGGATAAGAAAAATAATAATCAGCTAAATGCAAATGTTCTGTAGAGAGATTGAATGCCACAGTCCAGAGGGAAAGGCATAGGTTCAGTTCCTCATAAAATTGTCATCTTAGGGGTGTTTTCTCTTCCCCTAGTCTCATCTAATCATCACTTATCTATACCCAGAGATAAATAACACTTTGAAAATTAAAAGGAAGAGTAAGTTTGAGCTACACGGTACAAGAACACATCCTCCAATGCTGACTTCAGCTAAATGGCAAACGCAGTAAACACACGCTACAAACACAAAAAACAGTGATGCATAATGACAACAAAACAGTGACAGGCACAGAGAAGCGCTTCACGCTTACACAACGCCTCACAACATAAGCCACTCGCAACCCTCAGCCATGGTTTGAGAGGCCGGGACACCCGGCCAGCCCGCCTCCCGCCAAGGGCGG